CTTCTTTTTCCTTTGGTGTTTAGGATAATGCATTCTCGTGGCATCTCTCCTCACCTCTGTGGCCATGACCTCTTAGTCTTCGTGGCTGGTTCTCCAACTTAGAACTATCAGAATTCATCAAGACTCTTTTCCTGTTGGTGTTCACTCCCTTGGTGAGTTTGTTGGTGGTTTTTAGTTTTACATCTCCCAAATTCCTCACTGACAGATCAACTGAGATTCTCAGGAAGTAGTCCATTACACAAGTAGTAGTTTCCTTCTTTATGATGGATTAAACATTAGCCTTGCATTCTTTTTCAAATACAAGAGATGCTCTTTTCAAGCTGTAGTAAATTCTTTGTTATCTGGCAGCTTACCAAGTAGAAGACTGTAACTGACGTTTTGGATTTTCATCTACTATAAATCATCAGGATGCTGAGACCTCCCTACAAGACTCTATGGAAAAGATACGGAACTCCTGTTTTAACCAAGGAAATGGTGGCCCAGACCTTGAAGGGATATCCCCAGCATCTGTAGAGGGCTTGGGCTCCATTGCACCTCCATTGGCAGGGCTCAGCTGGATTCCCTCCTCTTAATTTAGTACCTCCTGCACTTCAGAGAAATGTCAGAGATATTAAGCTACTTTTCTGAGGTCTCATAACTGCAGTTTGAGACCACATAATATTAACTTCATGAACATGCTTTTAACCACTTAGTTGTTAGGAGTTAAGTAAACTGGAAATGTATATTTGAGACTTCTGGCATATAAATGCTTTTCTAAGAAAAACAAGACTGTAGCAGATCCCTAATGGAGTGAATATAAAGAAAAAAAGAGGTCCGAGACTTGGGAGCTCCCATGTTTATACACTGGGAAGATGAGGAAGAACGAGGGAAAGAACAGAGAGGCTGATGGAGAACCAGGTGAGTGTGGTATCCTAGAAACCAAGAGGAGAGACAGTCAGGGAGGAGAGATGTCACCTTTATTAGATGCAGCTACAGGTCCTGTGTGGACACTTCAGTTACTGTAATGAGTGGAATGGAGACACAGTCACATCCTCCAGATGAGTCTAGAGCAATAAAGAACATACTTACTTAATCACGATTATGTTGCTAATGTTAAATGCTCACTTAGTCTCCCTGCTACATAATTTAAAAAATAAAGAAAAATGACAAGGGGGGAAAGAGTCCAGTATTGGTCCTAAAAAAATCCTCCTGAAATACAGCTACTTTACATTACTATTAACATTTTGTAACTGTGATTTTTGTGTATGATTATAGTTCTGTAAAATATACAAAATGGTATATACTGATTTTTAATTCAGTAGTTTGTGTAAAAATACTACATGTTCGTCTGAAAATATTTGAAAGAGAAAATTAAAAAATATTTCAAAAATAAGAGTAAAGAGTGTAAAAGATCTCTACAGTCTTAGTGCACACCATTAACACTATGGTATGAGGTATGTATTTCCACATGGTCTGTGTGAAATGCCTATCTTCCTTATCTAAGAAATAGTCCAGGGACAGGTTTTTGTCCTGGAGAAAGCACAAATTCCCAGGGAAGGCTAAAGATCCGGCCTCCTGAGCCTCCCTCAGACACTCCGACATAGAGAACCTCAGGATGCTCTCAGAGTACTACTCAGAAGGGTTAGGTTGAGTCTAAGGAGGTGAGAAAAACTTTTAGGAGATTCTTGAGATTCTAACTAGTTCTGGAAAGGACTATCAACAACAACAGAAAGAAAATTTGGACTTCTGTGGTTTTAAAAAATTATTTAAACATCATGTATAGGTACATTCTAATGTAAAACTATATGGTATATCAGAATCAGAAAGAACTCTGAATTGAGACAAATTTTTTATTTTTACCTATAAGAATATTGAAACCTAGAAAGCTAGTGACTTCCTCATTCACAGACGATTCCAAACCATTAGCAGCAAAGGCTCAAACCTACTTCTCTGAGTATCAGGAACACTCTGAAACTGGTAAAATTTATGGCAGTAGCTTTTCTAAGCAAGCCCTGTTCCTTCCCCTTCCCCTTGAAAACTGCTTTGTCATAGGCTTCCTGCAGAAAAAGATGTGTCTCTTCATGGAGCTAGATTTAGAATCCTTTTTCAGGGTTAGACTTTGTGGGAGTAAGGAGAGCCCTAAATTTGGAGTCCAGAGGCATTCATTCACATCTCAATTTTTCCACTTCCTTTCTGACCATAAGCAAACCACATAGCCATTCTAAGTCGTGCTTTTTTTTCACCTGAAAAATAAGTATAGCATACATATTTCTGCCCATTGGGGTATTTTGAGGAGATCTTATCAGTGCAAAAGCAGTGTAGAAACCTAAAGCATTCTTTAAATACAAGGACTTGTTATTTTTATTAAGATTGCACAAGGAATGGGTTTCTTCATCCTACAAAGACATAATTACTTTCAGAGTGTTCCATGTGTGTTTCATTCTTCCCCCATAGTAGGTGCAGAGTAAATATTTGCTAAATAGTGGAGAGCTTTTATCATCTTTAGAAAAAGGAATATTCATGATAATTCTCCGTGGGAGTAGTGGGATAATAGTTACGATAGGGCGTGCCGTGTTTATGTGGGTTCCCTCATGGGGCTTTTAAGCTAAAAATAGGAGGAAACTTGTCTGATGTTGCCTCTGACTGAAGTGTGGTGTCAGAAGGGATGGTAAAAGAAGAAAGGCAAAGTGGCCGTGCAAGTGGAACAACATGCTGTTCTCATCAGACATTATTTAATCTTATTTTAAGGCTCCTTGGACGTGATATTTATATGTGAGAACAATAGAACATTTGCCCTTTATGTAGCCTTGTTTCGGTGCTAACAATGAAACTTACAGTAATGCTGTCTTTGTGTTTTGTCCTCATTTGGCAGTACATCTTTTATGGCACCCTTGTTTTAAATGTGGAAAACAAGGTAGGGGCAACGTACAGTAAAATGACTTACATATGGCATCAATTCCACATTTTGTTGATATTTCTGATTTGTTAGGTTAAACTTGAGATTTCTGTCTTCAGATTCCTCTGTCCTATTTATTACTTTTAATTTAAGACTGTGATGGACTAGATATAAATACTCATTTTTTAAAAATTCATTAGCAGTGTGTATAAAACCTAAGCAAAGGCAGCATCAGACAATGTTACAGTTCTGAGAGGAAACTCTAGAGATCTTCTCACCCAGAGTCCTCATTTTACATTGCCCAGTATTACATGGTTTAGGAAATGAGCACCTAGCGCTTTTGGCCTATAGTAAGTGGGTTTTATTCCATAAATTATATAGATCACCCCAGACTATATTAAGAAAGTTCATGTGAAGTTGTCAGCTAGTAGAATACATATGCTTTTGGGATGAGATCTGAAGACCAAACTATTTTTAGAGTAGTTAACTACATTCCAAGGTTTAGTGCCACACACAAAGAATTCCCAGAATATATTTATTCATGAGTTGTGTCTCCTTGAAAGACAGCTCTTAAAAGCGGTGGGGAGGAACTTTTGAGAAATGCACAGAGGTGGCAGTGTCTCCTGATTCAACTCATTAAAAAAGAGGAAAAAAAATAAAACCCACAGTAGAAACCAGGCAGTGGGAGTTAACCAGTCACATGATCCCAGCCCTTCTCTTTGGAATCTGGTCCTTAAAGTCTATCATGTACATGCAAAGAATCTCCAGGGTTGTTATTATCGTGTCAGGTAAAAATTCAAAATGTAAAGATACAAGGGATTTGAAGTGGTATCTCAATTCACTTAATAGCCTAATCAAGTGGAAAAATGAAGAAACTGGGTCAGGAGATACTTTTAAAAATCTAAGAATCTTCACTATGGCCTTTTAACCAAACTGATTGGTCATGCTAGTTAAAACACTTGCAATTCTTCATATAAATAAACATAGCACTGAGGAGAATATTTTGATCACTTACCTATCCATTGAACATTTCCAAAATTTGCTTTTGTGTGAAGTGTTTTGAAGTATTATAGGTAATACTGAGATACATGTAAGACAAGCTTCTGCTTCCAAGCAACTTTCAACTAACAGAGACCTAAAAACTCAAGAAAAAGTCAAACCAGCTTCTCTTAAAAAATTGGAGGGGATGTAGAACATTTTTTGTATAGCTCTCACAGTATATATGACATCTTCACAGAAAGCTTCAAGTGCATCTTGGCTTAAACTTTTTCAGACTAAGGTCACTTAATTTCTGATGAGTCAGAAAATCATGTTGATGGATGAAACTGGTGAAGTATTGACATTTTGGATAGTTAACCATTTTAATCTTAACTCGAACATCATTCTAATATGTTTTATAATTGCAAAGTCCTCCTGAACTAGATGGTGATTTGGGAAGGACAGAATCCTTAGAAGTTCATCTTAACAAGTAATTTGTCTAGTTGACTATTTCTGTTTTAATCAGAGATCTCAGTTTATACAAATCTAAATGTGTATGTGTAGTATTTTGCCCAAGTACTGATAATAAATATCTCAAAACCATTGCCATCTGTTCTGATTTTGCCCCCTTTCCCCTTTCTAACTTTCTTGACACTTAATGGTTTTCTGGCTTAGCTAACTGTTCTGTCTGAAACTTGATAGAGGTGGGAATATCAGCGGTAAATTTGGATTGGCTATTGGATTTTGTCAATCTCGGGATTGACATCAAATACTCTGGTCCGTGGAGCAGGAGTGTGTTCCTTCCAGCTTTGGTCATTTTTCTTAGTGGGAGATCCACTGCTTTTTGACCTACATTCCTTGGACAATTTTCAGACTTTCTTTGTGAACATACTGTCACTCTTCAGTCTTTTCAGCAGTTAGTGTAGTCACCCCTGCATCTCCAGTGACCGGTGCTGTGCTTGCCATTAGCAGATGCAAAGGAAATATTCCCAGAGTGTACTTTTAGCTGCGTGAAGGTTACCATCACTACGATCTGTAGATGCTCAAAAGCAAAATGATTGCATGAAGTTCTGGAGTTTGCTCCACCTTTATCAGATGGAGGGGACACCATCAGCACTTCTGACATCTCCTCTTTCCTTCTCTGCAGACTCACATCTCAAGACTCCCTCCTGGTGCGGTGGCAGGACAGTCGGTTGCAATCGAAGGTGGGGTTTGCCGCTTGGAGAGCCCAGCGAACTGACCCTGCTGGCTGAGCGTGAAGTATCGGCGGCGAGGCATTTCAGAACATGAGCTTTTGGGGGGTTTTAAAGCTCCTTGTTTTATAATTCGCATTGGAACCTTGTGCACCGCTCAAAACACAAGTGCTGCTGTAGTTAGCGCTTAGTGATGCGCGGACCTTTGGTGGGTGCCGGACGGTGTGTGGATGTGTGAGTGTGTGTGTACGCGCATATGTGTGCGGTCTATGTGCTTGCTTCTCCCTCGATGAAATAGAATCTCCTCATTGTGTAACCAATGACTGGGAATGATCGTCTTTACAAAACGTGTGCTTTAACTGTTTACAAGTAAAACCTAAGGTTGCAGGAAACATTTTTTATTTCATAAAGAGTAAGTACCAACTGTCATTGATGTAATGTGTCTGAGCTGAAGAGTAAATCTACTTGTTTAAATGATTTGACAGTGGTCGTGCTCCATTTAATAGCAGTAATAAGTAATAAGGTGTTTTTATTTGTGAATCAGTTTAAGTAGATCTTGTGGTAACTTAAACTGTGGTCTTCTTCCCTCATTTGGGGCATTTTTCTTTAACAAAGAGTGGTTTCAGTGAAACAATCCAGCAGAGAATTAAGGTCAGAACCTTTTTAAGTAATAGTCTTATTGATAAAGTTTGTACTTCTTCCCTCTGCTTTTCTAAGATTCAGTACTGCTTAGCTTTGAGCTGTATGTAATGTATTATGAAAGACTATGTAAAGAGAACATACAGTAACGCACAGTCCTTAATTGTGTATAGTGGAATGTTATTTACAATGTAACACTGTAAATAAGAAAGCAGAGTTTATGGGAAAATTCAATATTATCTTTGTTTCTTGTTTAAATATATTTTTAAGATAAAGACACAAAAATAAAAAAAAAGTATTACCAGGTTTGGTGCCTGACTCCTCTTCTTGGACTAATATATTATGCTTGGAATCTTAGATTGAAGATGAATTTTTTTCATTTCGTTTGTAAAAAGTTGCTTGTTCCAGAAATCATGCCAATACCTGTCTTGCTGTTTCAGTGATTCAAAACCCGGTCTTACCTCTGTTCAGCTGGGATGGACAGTAGCAAGATGAAAGTTGAGCTGACTGCATGATTAAATCCTCTATATAGAAATCCCTAGAATTTTCATTGCAGTTTCATAAGTCACCATGGGAAGGAATGGGAACACTTTTCTTTGAAAAGTCATAGTGGCCCTGAAAGCTCAATGGTTTCAGCTGATAAATTACTTCTAAATGTTATATTTAGGCCTCCTGGAGCCACATAAGAAAACCGAGTCTTTCCTTTTGATTTTTTATGTAAGAAGTGGTTATCAAGAAGATACTAAAGATAGACTTGCTCAGGGGGGAGGAAGTTTGTCTGCACCATATAATCATGGCTCTGGGCAGTAACTGATAAAGCCTCAGATAAAATTATACACTTGACATCGATGTATGGCCAAATTATAAAGGAAAGACAACCAAAATGGAGTGGGTATAAATATGAATGATTTGAGAGTTGCTGATTTATATTCCTCACACAGGCAATTACATTTGTCTCGCTGTGTTCTCGTAGACAGGTTGGTGCCGTGGTATCTGTTTCTCATTCTTAATGAGGCTGAGAACTTAGGAAGAGATGGGCTGGCTGGTGGAAGCCTTTGGTTTCAAAAGCTTTCAGAGACCTGTTACCTGTTGGTAGGATGTTTCCAGGAGCTGGGCTGGATCACATAAAATGATCAGGACACTTTGGAGTCTGAAAATCATCTGACCTATTTCACCAGGAATGTCATTTCTTTCATCTCCTTTTGACTTTATTCTGTTCATATTTAAATGTTGGAGCTTGTTAAAGATCACTTTTATGAGTTTAAAAACCGGTCAGTATAAAAGAGTACCAACCCTCCAAGAACAGTTTGTCAAACACTTTATTCTCCAGTATTCTAAGTACTTTTTTAAAAAATTAAAGGAATATTATGAAGCTAGGAGGGGGGAAAGTGATGTACAGAATTATAGAAACAAAAATGTAATGGATATATAGGTTCTTTCACTGTAAGATAAGAGGTTAAGGATCAGATACTAGAACCAGAGTATATTGACAGATATAAAGTCAAAAGTAGAAAAAGAAGAAACGGATAAGGTAACCTTATAATCTTTTCTGACTTATGTCACTCAGATTCTGAATCTGATCCTTAAGGTCTCTGCTTTTACTGTGGATGATTTTGATTGCATGCCTATATTTACTTTCTTTTAAGGGCTGAGCATTAGCTATTTGATTCTCTTGAGTATAGTTAAGCTTAGTCTGGACCTCTCAATGCCTGGCTTCCCTGTGACCCTGTAGTGGGTTTGGAAATGGGACCATTCCAGGCTGGTACAGAGCTCGGACTCGTGCCCTCCTGCAGGCTTGTGAGGTTCCAGTGCTGACTGAAGACAGTGGTGGGTTGGCCAAGGCTTTGTCCTCCTCCCTTGTCAGCCCTGCCACTCACCCCATCCTCAGTATATTTGCCTAGAGCAGGCCCTGTGTCATTCTTTAATTGCCATTTGTAAACTTGAAATCAAGTATCTCTTGGTACATCTGTTGGAACTGAGTATAAAGTGTGTATAAATAAGTTCCAAATGCTACTCTGAGATGCTTTGCTCTGAGCAAAGCAGATTGATTTTGGTTTATAGATCTGGAAACAGCCCTTTGGGCTGCTCAGATACTTTTATTTTTCCTAATTCCTAATTTTCTCCCTCATTTGAGAATAGTGATGCCGCATTCCTGTTACCATCAGATAAACAAAGTTGTTCTGTTTTGACATATCGAATGGGGGGAGGGGAAGAAGAAAGGAATCAGAGGCGAAGAGAAGGTTTTAGAAAGTGCTAGGACAATTCTTTAGAATTTTGGGATTATATTTAACTGTTAGGTAATCTTGTTTTAATAACCTGTTCATTATTATTACAGAAACAAACAATTCTTATGGAAAATAACAAAATAGATAAGGGAGATCAAGAAAAAAAATTATAGCCCACTTCTGTAGAGGCAACAGTTAACATCTTAGACATTTTTTCTGCATAGATTTTTCTGTTTTTAGCACAGAAATGGTGTTATGTTGTGCTCCCAAAATGGGGTGATGGAACATGTAGTTTTTACTTTAAAATATCTTTAAAAGTTGTCCATATTTATAAGTTCACACAGCATCCCATCCACTGTGTTCCTGCACAGTGCTGGTTCAGCTTAATGCTAGAAATCCATGACAGCACTGAACACTATAGTCAGCATCATTTTCTGAGGATATACGTATGTGCAGCGAGCACTGTAAGGTCTTAGCAAGGAAAACCAGCTTGGCGGACACGCCAGAGCAGACACTTGTCACTGCCCTCAGCCTTACCATTGCGGTGTGCCCAGACAGCTCCAGGCTCATAACTGCACCTCTGTGCCTGAAGACTTTCTCTAAACTATGGAAAGCTGCCCGTCCTGCACGCAGCAGGCCGCAAGTGCCAGAGAATCAGCACTTCCCAGAAGCAACTCTGGATGTGCCATGAGTTTTGAGAAGTTTGTAACTAAGTCAGTGTTCAAAGGCATCAGGCTGTTAGAGACAGGTGAACACTTTGAAGAAGGTGGAATACACAGAAGCTGAAGAGCAGCAGTTTATCAAGGACTTAAGCATTGATGGACATCCTGGAAGAAATGATCTGGAATTGTGTTAACAGCAGCCAGAAGCAGTGTTAGCCGAAGGTGTGTCATCATCCTAAGAGATCTGAAGATACCAACACACTGGGGGCCAGTGTTCTGGGCCGTGGACACATCTCCATGATGACCATGGTGTTATATCCACATACAAACACAATTTCCAGGATGCCATCTTTCAAGGCTGTATGTTTACAACATAATCTCATGGTTAAAATTTTTGACAAAATAATGCCTCCCAGGATTTCTCTTAAAGCAAAATATGTATTAAGTGACTCACATAGACTTTGTTCTGACATACATCACCATATATAAACACCATCGTTGGGTTCCTTTGTGCTGTGAAGCCCTGGCTTCATGTTCAGTTTAAATTTTCATTGGTTGGTTATGGGGTGGAAAACTTCCAAGGACAAGATAGATGGAAATCACTCCTCCCTCCCAGGAATGCTCACTCAAGGAAAAGACGGGGCCTGGGAGAAGTGAACCCCTCTGTGTGTGATTAATTTGTTTTACTTCAGTCTCCTATTCTAAACCTTTCCCAGATGCTGATTAACCAGGGGAAAGAGATGGATGAGTGAAGGTCTTGGGCCATAGGTGGAACTGAGTGGGAGATTAACAACATAAAGTTAATTCTTTGATACTAATATTTGTTCTGGGACATTAAGAATTCTTAAGCAGTACACTGCCATTCCCCAACATTTAATTTGGGTTCGAATCCACAGATACGATGTCTATGATCAGGGACCCTTGGGCAGCTCAAACTGATGAGATAGGTTTTCTTTTCCCACATGCTGCTGTCTGTAAAGTGTGTGGCCACAGGAAGGATTAAATCTATAACTGGCCAGGGCGCCCCTCCAAGTCAGCCCATTCAGCTTCCAGAAGACCATCATCCAAGCCCAAGGTGGTTCACCGTTACCAGTTGTGGGAACCGAGAGGGAATGTGAGCCCACTGCTTTCTCCTTTACGTGGTGGAGCCACCAAAGCCCTGAAACCACAGTGGGCAAAACCAGAAAAACTGGGCAAGGGTTTCCCTGCCTTGAACTGCCATGGGGATTTCTCTGATTGTCAACAGAGTTTGAGAAGCTGGGAAGAAACAGTAATTCCTTTAACCCCTGCTTTCATGATTAGTTGGAGATCTAAAGAGTTGATACTACTCCTAAATTGGTGTTTCCTTACCTTGAGAAATCCAGCAATACTTAAAAGATAGGTGACTTTAATATATTAAGAGAAATACGTACTTTTTTCCATTTAGAAATGCCGTAATGTTTTTAAGTTATATCCCCAAACCTGGTAACAGTATCTTCCCATCTGGTTAATGTAATCCCATCCTTCCGAATGCTCAGACTAAAATTCTTGAGTTCATCTGTCTCGTGTACCTATGGCTGTATAACATCACCCCTGACCTTAGTGGCAACAGTTTCATTTTCTCTCAATTCTATAGACTGGGCTGGTTTCCCTTGGCAGTTTTTCTGCTCCTTGTGCTGGTGCTCACTGATGTGTTGTGTTCAGCTGGAGGATGACCTGGAGGCTGGGCTCAGCTGGGACACAGGGCCTCTCTTCCATGGCCCTTCCATGCCACCTCCGTGTGATACATGGCAGCTCAGGGTTCCCAGAAGCGCAAAAGCAGAAGTTGCCGGGACTTCTTAAGGTTCTGGTTCACACTGGCCCAACATCCCTTATGCAGATTTATTGGTTAAATCAGGTCACCTGATTCAGCCCAGAGTCAAGAAGAAGGAACTGCTTATGGGCATGAGTATCAGAAATCAGGTTCACTGAGGGCCACGAATCTGACATCTTTAAATCTTTACCTTTTCTCCTTTTTCACAATCAATCAGTAACTCCCTCTGGCCCTCATTTAAAGTGTATTCTGAATCCAACTACTTATCTCTACTGCTACCATTCACCCGAGTCATTACCATGGGTTTTATACTGGTCTTCCTGCTTCCATGCTGGGACAGTCACTTTCTACTAGATTATGCTGTCCTTCTGCTCAAAACTTTCCAGTACACCATGTCCCCAGTTCTTAGAAGACCCTAAGATCTCCTCATTCTTGTTCTCTGACCCACTTCCACTATTCTCCTAGCTCAGTCAGCTCCAGCCTTCCTGGCTTTCCTGTTCTTTGAGTAGCCCAGATCTCCTTCCATCAGAACTGCTGCACATGCTTGTATCCCATTCAGAAAGCACTGGAGGGATCCGTGTGGCTGGCTTCCCCATTTTCTTCAAATCTTTGCAGGTTACCTTCCTTCCCAGGTTGACCCTGAGCACCTCCTTCCCATTGTCCTCTCAGCACTCTGTATCTTCTTCCTGTCCTCCCCCACCACCACTGAGCACTTACCACTTTCGATTGCACCATGTAATTGATATATTCGTTTGGTTTCTGGATCTCTATTTAAAAGTAATCTCCCCCCAAACAGGGATTTTTGTGTCACTTATGCTAACCGCCAGCACCTACGTGTCTGACATCTCCATAAATGGTCCTCAGTAAATGTTTGTGGAAGGCAAAGTAAAGGTTCCTTATGGTGGCATGGACGAGACAATATGGAGATGTGTATTAGCTGCCTTTTGCTTCTGTGCTAAATCGCTACAAACTAAGCCAAGAACAAAACAGTCGCTTATCCCTGTAATACGATAATTATGATGGTTGGGAAGATACATAGAAGAGGCATAGCTGTGTCAGATAAAGAGGAAGTTGAGAATGGGTCCCCAAATTACCGTTTCCATTTCAAAAATATTTTAATATGTATGTTAATTTGTTTCATTTATACTACTAGCTTCTCTTGGGTCATTTAAAAAGTTTTATGCTAAGGGGCTGGGGATTTAGCTCAGCGGCAAAAGCGCCTGCCTGGCAAGCGCAAGGTTGTGAGTTCGGTTCCCGGTACCAGAGAAAAAC